GCCTGGCACTTTTTTTTTTTTTTTTAATGGGGCTTTTTGCTACTCTGACATTCTCCTCTTTGAAGAGATAACCCTAATTAGATAAAAGCTCCCAAATACTTTTGACATTTTTGGCCTTTGGAACAGAATATGTTGCTAAGTGGCCCAAGGACATTTTGACTTTTAGCTAAGAAACTGGCTATTTTTCTTTGGGGTCTTATTACACTAACTTCCTAGCCAATTCCTACCTCCTGTTCTTATCACACCATCCTCTGAAGTTGTTACCCAGCTTGCAGATAGGGAATCAGGACTCAGACTGCTCTGGCTTCATCCATGCTCAACAGGAATGCAGGGTGAGGCAAGTGGGGTCCCCCTTCAGTGGGTCTATCTAAAGGACTCCCAAATTGCATAACTCTTATCTGTAGTGGGAAAAGAAAGTCCTTGACTGGTGAATAGGAGATGTGAAGGAGAAGTAAAGGCAAGAGTAATTAGCATTAGAAGTTCTAGACAGGGAACTAGAAAAAAGTCAGAACAGGGGAAATTTCAGATGTTCATATGAGAGTCCATTGGAATTTCTTGACGAGAGTTTCCAAAGCCATCTCTCTACTGGGTTCCTCCTCATTTTTCTTTTGTCTGCCAAGGCTGGACTTGAGAGTGATCGATTCAGGATTTGCTTTCAGGTATTTTGATAGCTGTTGGAGTGGTTAGAATCAGTATCTGTTCCCTCTCAAAGGCTTCTAGATAGGGGGAGAAAACAAATTTAGCCATCATTTTAGAACAATAGCTGGTTGTCTCCCTTAGTTACAGGTGGGCACTACAGTACTGCAGATCAAGATTTGAAGTCTTACATCTAAGCAGCAGTTTCTGATTAGGAACAGAATCATCAATGAGAAATAATTGTCTAACTTTTTCTATGGACTTAAGCCTTATGTCTGAGAAGTGTAATCCCTTGAACACTTAAAGAAATATACTGATGACTTTACTTTTCGGTTATACTTTCCTTTTGGTTGTTTAAGACCATACAGTTGACCCAAATAAATCAATTTATATTTACACCTAAGGTCATTTGAGGATTTGTTCCTCAGGGGACACATGGGCTTGGGAGGAGCCCCTGGCTCCTTTCTTTTACCAGTTCCATCTATGTGAAGATAAGTCAAAGGTCCTGCTCAAGAGTGGAACAGCCAGTGTTCTTAACCAGTGAGCCATCTCTCCAGCCCCTGTACACAGTTTTGTATTTTTGCTTATACCATTTATTGTTTGATTTTTGGCTCAGCTTTATTATGTTATAATGATATTCCAAATTGAACTTCTTTGATATAATTGTCATTTTATTATTGGACATTAGATTTTTAAAAAAAAGCAAATCTGAGCTATTGACAGTTAATGACTGCTGGGGGAGAGGGAGCCTTTGTTCTCCAGGGTGTAGCCACTGGTAAGCTGCTTGTATATAAGTCCGCATTCAT